CACCAAATTCTCTTGTGCCTACGTAGGCCAGTCTGTTGGTGACCACCCTTCTGAGGGTGAATTTCACCAAGCCTCCCTTCCCCCCAGCACCCCCCTTCTCCAGAATAGGTGTTCCACTTCCTGCTTGAAGATCTGATCAAACAATTAATAAATGACTTAGTCACCATCCAAGGATTTGGTATCTCACGTGGTTGGGGCTTTCCAAAAGAGTGACTATCTGTCAGTATTTGCCCTTTTCCACACAGGAAATAAATTACCTCAGGCCTCTCCCTCACAGTACTCAGTAAACTGTTCGAAGAAAAACATAGTACGGGCTATAATATCCTTCATTTCAATCTATTTGCTCAGAGAGCATAGAAAGGCAGCTTCAGTTGCTAGCCTGAAACTCTAGTACATCACATCTGTGTTGACCAGTGTGGATCAAAGGGCCATGACGGTAACTTTTACAGACAAAAGGCACAGTCCATGGAGAAGAAAAAGGCCACCCAGATCCCAAAGGGCAGAAAAGGCTGCCTAGCTCTAAGGTGGCATCCATGTAACCCAACCTTTACTTTCCTAAGACTCCCTGTTAAAAGCTGGTGGGAGGTGGCCAACAAATACTTGAAAAGATGCTTGCGATCAGTAGTCGTTAGAGAGATACAAACCAAAACCACGATGAGATACCCTCTCACCCCCGCAAGAATGACATGGATCAAAATTCAGAAAACAGTAAACGTTGGCGAGGTTGTGGGGAGATTGGAACTCTCATACACCATTGGTGGGAATATAAAATGGTACAAGCACTATGGAGAACGATATGACACTTCCTTAAAAAGCCAGAAATGGAAATATCATACAACTCAGCAATCCTACTCCTAGGAATATATCCTAGAAAAATAAGAGCTGTCACATGGACTTATGCACACCCATGTTCGCTGCAGCATTATTCACAATAGTAAAAAGATAGAAACAACCTAAGTGCCCATCAACAGATGAATGGATAAACAAACTATGGAACACAGACACAAAGCAATACTACACAACGATAAAGAACAATGATGAACCTGGGAAACATCTCACAACATGGATGAACCTGGAGGACATTATGTGGAGTGAAATAAATCAATCACAAAAGAAAAAATGCTGTGTGAAACCACTATTATAAAAACTCAAGAAAAGGTTTACACACAGAAAGAAATAATCTTTGATGGTTATAAGGGGGGAGGGGGGAGTAGGGGAAATCACTAACTAGACAGTAGACAAGTGTTAACTTTGGTGAAGGGAAAGGCCATACACGATATACAGGAAGTCAGCACAACTTGATCAAAGCAAAGGAAGACACTGAGAGGAATACAAGGCAAAAAAAGGTAACCACAGTAAAAAATATAGCATATACAACCTTACAACAACAGTAAAAATAAATAATAATTTACAAGCAGATACATAGGTAGATACATATACTGAGTAGGGAAAGGAGGGTTTATAGGGACTATACCCACGTATGTATACAGGTTAGGCTGTGGGTATTTTTACATACATATTCATATGTGCAGCATATAATACATGTAATAGAACACAAAGGGGACACAGTCAGAGAAGCTTCCTAGATACAACCAAACACCACAAGAGCCTGAGTTACTGGGACTGAGGGCTGGGGACTATGGTCTTGGGAACATCTAGGTCAACTGGCATAACATAGTTCATAAAGAAAGTGTTCTACATCCTACTTTGGTGAGTAGTGTCTGGGGCCTTAAAAGCTTGAGACTGGCCATCTAAGATACAGCTATTGGTCTCATCCCATCTAGAGCAAAGAAGAATGAAGAAAACCAAAGATACAAGGAAACAATTTGTCCAAAGGACTAATGGACCACATGAACCACAGCCTCCACCAGCCTGAGCCCAGAAGAACTAGATGGTGCCCGACTACCACCACCAACGGCTTTGACAGGGATCACAATAGAGGGTCCCAGACAAAGCAAGGGAAAAATGTAGAACAAAATTCAAATTCACTAAAAAGACCAGACTTACCGGTCTGGCAGAGACTGGAGGAATTCCGGAGACTTTGGCTCCCAGACATCCTTCTAACTCAGAACTAAATCTTCTCCCTAAGTTCACATTTCAGCCAAACATTAGACAGACCTATAAAACAAACAATACCGATGAAGAATGTGCTCCTTAGTTAAATCAAGTATATAAGACCAAATGGGCAACACCTGCCCCAAAGCAAAGATGAGAAAGCAGGAAGGGACAGGAAAACCAGAAGAATGGAACTGGGGAATCCAGGGGGAAAGGGAAATGGAGAGAGTGCTGACACACTGCGGGGATTGCAACCAATATCTCAAAACAATTTGTGTATAAATTTTTCCATTTGCACTTGCTTGGTGTGTTGGAAAACAACTGCAAGGAAAAGGATAATGGTCTTTATCTGCTGGTGGTGGGAATACAGCTGGCATTCCTCTTCAGCCTTCTGCTTGTCTGTATGTATAGTTTTTCTACCAAAGAAAAAAACAAAAAAGCAAGCATACTGTTTTGTAATAAGAAAAAAAATCATATCTTTTTGTTATTCAGAAGGATTTCCCACTGTATGCACCTGCTTCACACATAGAGTCAGTGTATTGCTTACATTGAAAAGGTGGCTTTTTTATTTCTAAAAGGAAAAAAATCTCTTAAGGAGACCATAGGATGGGTAGATTAAGAGCACAGGTTTTGGTGGCACAGATTCTTCAAATAAAAATCTTAGCTCTTTCTCTAATTCTGCTGGGATCACCTCGAAAAATGTTCTTCACCCCTCTGAGCCAGAGTGTTTTCATCTGTAGAGGGGCATGGAACCTTCCTTACAGAAGGATGAGGAGCATTTAAAATGCATATTTGCGTGGGCATATATCCGTGCTCAATGAAACATGGATGTCTTTCTTCTCACTGCAACCCTGAGATCTCTGAAATTATCTTTAGAAAGCCACCCAAGACACAACACCTAAAATTTTTAGAAGGATCCTCAGCGTGCATCCAATCTGACTTCTCTGAAATCCTTTCCCCAGCTTCCCTGGCCAAGTGTCTCTGAGCTGTGGCAGAATGCAGCCCATGAGTCCCTTGGGAGTGGGTGGCCGAGTCCATGGCAGGACAGGTGTTGCCATGATAATGGAGCTACTGGCTTTTTACTCCGCTAAAATTGGACTCCCTATAAAATTCTACCTACTGTTCTAAATTCTAACCTCTAGAATTACAATGAAGACCTAGCAGGCTCCCTGTCGCACATAGTCCTCCAGCTGTTATGTAACACTGGCTCCAAGTAGGGTCATTGCATAATATAGAATTATAGGCATGACAGTGACGCTGAAAACAGATAGTAACTGAATCATGCTCCCTAGCAGTTGGCAAAAGGTCCAAGAGAGATCTGACTTAATGCCTGCCATGATCTCTAACTGCTCTTTTCAACTTTGTCCTCTCTGCTTCCCAGTCAGCTCATCAGGATCTTTCCTCTCCTTCCTGTCTACTCAACGCCAATCTAAAAATAGATTTTTTATTTCTGTATAGATGTCATAGCTGAACAAGTTGATTGGGAAAAGCGTTTTTGCTAATTCCATCACATCATATAGGAAAGCAGATAGAACGTGATTAACTTAAAGAACTCGTATTAACTTCACGTTGTTGCTAGCTCCTGTAGAGTCGACCCTGACGTATGGCGACCCCGTGGACAACAGAACAAAATGCTGCCTGGTCCTGTGCCATCCCCAGGATCGGTTGCGGATCAGACCATTGTAATCCATAGGGTTTTCCCTGATTTTTGGAAGTAGATTTCCAGACCTTTCTTCCTAGTTAGTCTTAGTCTGGAAGCCCTCATGAAACCTGCTCCGTATTGTAGTAACACACAAGTCTCCATTGACAAATGGTTGGTGACTGTGCTTAAGTTGCATTAGCTGAAATCGAACCTGGGTCTACAGCACAAAAGGTGAGTTCTACCACTGAACTACCACTGCCCCCCGTGAACTTAACACAAGTGTAGAAATACAGCAATCGGGCAAAGAAATAACAGTTATTCTGATTTTATCCTTAGAAGAATCCCTATAAGCCTGAGCATAGGTCCCTGGTGGCACAAATGGTTTATGCTAGACTACCAGCGTAAAGATCAGCAGTTGGAACCTACACAGCGGCACCCCAGAAGAAAGACCTAACCAAACCAAAACCAAACCCGCTGCCGTCAAGTCAATTCTGACTCATAGCGACCCTATAGGACAGAGTAGAACTGCCCCATAGAGTTTCCAGGGAGTGCCTGGTGGATTTGAACTGCTGACCTTTTGGTTAGCAGCCATAGCTCTTAACCACTATGCCACCGGGGTTTCTGAAGAAAGACCTGGAGATCATTAATGGCAACGTTTTGTTGTTGTTGTTTTTAGGCCTAAGGATGACAATACCCAAATAGACACCAAACTGTTATTTTCATATTGAGGAAAATAGAAGCTCTTTCAGATGACCCTTGCATGCCAGGCTTTCAGTGGGAAAGATAAAGACACACACGTAGACCATTAGGTAGTTGGAAGGCATGATTTTAGCCAGGATGTAATTCAATTACCTGGGTGTTTAATAAAGAGCTTGGGGGCGATATTTCTTTATTTGGGCGGCAGCGTTGTCAGATGAAGAGTGTAGTGGTTCTGAGCGCTGTTTTTTCCAGTCTTGTCTTGATTGCAACAATGCGAGTGCCTTGTCTGCAGCTGGTGGATTATTAACTGAGGTTATTGGTCTCCATGGCAAAACGATTACGTACTTGGAACATAACCTCATTGATGGGGGTGCAAAAAAATAGGACTCCAGGACAGGGAGAACGTATAAATGTCCAGTGAGGCTTCAGAGGGAGAAGCTGAAGCAACTCCAAGGATACAGTCAAAGGCTGATTTGGTCCTCAGCCCGCAAATACGAATTGAATTGGAGACAGTTACTAGGACTCTCTGACCGAAAACTTCGAAAGTCCTGTGAAGGAGGCAGAGTGAGGGGCCTTTTTCTTGGATTTATATTGTTTCGTCAGCATGTGTACTGGGAGTTGTGCCAAGTGCCTGGGGGGCACCCTCATTCCCCTCGCCCTGTTTGGCTTCCTGGCTAACGTTCTGCTGTTTTTCCCTGGAGGAAAAGTGATAGACAACAACGATAACCTTTCCGAGGAGGTCTGGTATTTTGGAGGAATACTGGGTAGCGGGGTCTTGGTAAGTACACCAAAAAAAAAAATCTGTCGCTGTCCAGCTGATTCTGTCGCATAGTGACCCCAGGTATAGGAAAGCCTTAACATCTCTGATGGAGGCTATTCCTCCTTCCTTTTAGAACTGTGGACTTGTTGAACAGGAGGATACTCACTTGCTAACCAAAGCCCTAGAGATGGATGATGAGAAGTCAATGCCTCGCAATTTACCCCTCTCTGTTTGGATCTGACCAAGACACATCCACCAAACTGACTTAGGAACAAGTCTCCATGCTTGGGCCGGCATTTCTCATGAGTCAGTTGAACCCCATGAACCAAAATGAAGGCCACGTCTTGTCTTTATTCTAAAAAGGTAGAGCCAGGAAAAACAAAAACCCCAAACGACTCGTTCTAGCAAATTGATTGACTTCCAACCACAAAGAGAAGCAAGTGTCAGTGGGGTCCTCTTCTATCTGTGCACTAATAATGATTCCTTAACCCCTTGGTTCCAATAGAGGTTGGAAACATCCAGTTGAGAGAGAGAGAGAGACTCATTCTTCAGGACAACTGGGCAGTTGAAGACAAATTTCTTATCCTGTCCTAACTCACCATCTAAATGGAAAGTCAGAGTGTTAGATCTTGAAATTCTGCCTCATGGAAGCTGGAGTTACTTAGGCCAAATGGAACCTAAATACTAAATAACACTCACTCTACCCCACCAGCCATTTTCTGTTAGGTCTTGCCCTAAGTCCCACGTTATGGATGTGGTTCTTCACACGGCCAGGCAGGCACCAAGCCCTTCACATCCCCAAACCCACTCTGAGGTGCTTTTCTTGCTGCAGATGATTTTCCCTGCGCTGGTGTTCTTGGGCCTGAAGAACAATGACTGCTGTGGGTGCTGTGGCCACCAGGGCTGTGGGAAGAGATTTGCGGTGAGTGACTCCGGGGGACAGCCACCAGAATGATGCCAGGGTGCACTGTCTCCTTGTGCTTGGCAGCTTGGGGTTGGGGATGAGTTGCCAGCTCTAGGCAGGGACACTGGGGGCAACTGGTACAGGAATAAAGATGCGATTCTTCCTGCTGGGGCAAAGTAACAATATTAATAATTTTACAAATACCATAGCCCTCATATTATGGGTGCTGTTTTAAGTTTTACAAAAACAGGCAGAGCTGTCACAGCTGGAGTGGTGCCATACAAAGAATGCAGGTTTGGAAGGGAAAAGAAGGCGACCATAGCTCTCCCTCTGCCACTCAGAAACCAGGAGATCTTGGGCGAGTCATTTGCCTTCTCTGGCCTTGTGTTGCCTCCTCTGGTAAGTGAGGGGTTAGGACAGGATGAAAGATGGTACCCTCCTTTCCCCTAAGCTCCTCATCCACACCACTGCCAGCTTCACTGTGTGTGAGGCCCAGACCCTCCCCACTTCTATACAAATTTTGCCTCAAGGCTTCTTTTCTTTTATTAATATTTTATTGTGTTTTTGGTGAAGGTTTATACAGCAGTTTAGGTTCCCATTCAACCATTTCTGCACAAAATGTTTGGTGACATGGGTTACATTCTTGACAGTGTGCGAACATTCTCAGTATTTCCATTCTGATTGTTCCTTTTTGCTTCAAGACTTCTGATTCCTTCCTTGTTTCATGCGGCCATGCATCTTTCAGTAGGTGGGCTAGAGAAATGAGGTCTCAACATTCCAGGGTTGTAGTGGAAGGAGTGCTGGATTTGAAAGCAGGAGTTGTGGGGTCGGGTCATGTTTCTGCAACTGGGCAAGTCCATGAACTGCTTTCTGCATTCCTTTGCTCATCTGTAAAATGAGGAAGGTGGGCTAGATCAAAACTCTCCAAGTATGAGACAAACTCGGGTGGTACACAGCATGCAATATCTTCAGTTTATCTTTCAATAGCACAGGAAGTAATTACTTTTTCAAATCTTGAGTCCTTTTCTGTTAAGACAAAAACTTATTTTACTAAAACTAATTTTATTTTATTAAAATAAGACTTATTTTAATCTTTCTAACCCTTCGTAATCTCCCTTTTTAACAAAAGGAGAATACCCAAATAAGCATTGATAATTGTTATGATAACATTTAAAATCATCATTTACAAAGAGATGTAAAAATTCAACCATGATATATTTGATATAATTATATATTATATGTAATACAGGATATTTTTATATAATCAATTATAAAGGAAAGGACAAAATAGATAACTCATTTACCCTAGAACTCTAATCCCATTATTTCTTGTGAACTTTTGAGGGATAAGTTGGAGATGAGAGCTTTTAAAAACCAGCAATTAAGGAAACTGAATGAAAGGAAAGAAGAGTCACTGCTTAGAAATCTAATGTTTCATTCCCTAATTCTGAGTAGAAGGCTGAAGGCTGGCCACTATACAACAAGGGACTTGTTTGTTTGTTATTCTTAGGTTTATAGATAACCACAGTGAAAATGAAGTAACATTCAAAGTATTAGGAAAAGCTTGTTTTTTAAAAATTAGACCAAAGCAAAGCCTAAGAAATGAAACCAAACCTGTTGCCGTTGAGTTGATTCTAACTCAAAGAGACCCTATAGGACAGAGTAGAACTGCCCCATAAAGTTTCCAAGGAGTGGCTGGTGGATTCGAACTGCTGACCTTTTGGTTAGCAGCCATAGCTCTTAAGCACTGTGCCATGTTTTTACAAGCATAGTTGGGTTGTTAGAATCTGAAGTATTTGATCTGTCCAACCAGGTTGTCTATCTGGGGTCCCTCAGTCTCCTCCCACCCGCCTTGGGATCTGCCCGTGGCAGGAGGATGACTCCTCCAAAGACTGGCTGAGTGTCCAGAAGGGCATTTCTGTCAGAGGACCAGCTTTGCAAGACTGTAAACCAAGGCGCCCTTGGACCAGGGGCCACACACTGGGTGGCCGGCATATGGATTTTTTTTTTTTAAATCAGCTGCCGACTTGTAAATATTGAGAGATTTCACAAAAAGCATCTAGATATCTTCTTCAAAAAAAAAAAAAAAAAAAAACAATTAAACTGGCATCTCTGGGCCTGCCCGACATGCCCAGGGCATGGCTGAGGGCGTGGAGCTGCTGCTCCTGCTTTATTAAGAACCATGCTTCCATAATGTTCTGAGGCCGTGGAGCACCAAACAAGTACCGTGTTTAAGTAGGGTATTGACAAACATTTTATCAGACAAAAAGATAAAGGCTGCAACCTAATTTGATGGGAACTGTAATGCCGAACATTTGAATTATTTTTCCAAATGCTCACAGTCTTCCTCTGAGGTGTTTTAGACCATTAGCTTTCTGTGGGGCGTTAATGAAGAAACCTTGCTCAGTAGAAGGCCTGTGAGGCAGAGTTCGATACTTTACCGTCTTCCTTTAAGATAACCTGTTCATTCTGGTCTAGTGCTTTGCTGCTGACCCAAAGATTGGTGGTCCGAACCCACCAGCCACTCATCAGAAGAAAGATGGGACAGTCTGCTTTCCGTAAAGATTACAGCCTTGGAAACCCGATGGGGCAGTTCTACTCTGTCCTATAGGGTCACTATGAGTCAGAATTGACTCAGCCGCAAAGGGTTTGGTTTGGGTTTATTCTTCCAAAAGAAATGTCTTTCTTAAATCCCCCTCAAACTGGCTGTCATTCAAGGAATGCAGAAGTAGCTGGCCAGGAGGTCAGTGCTTGTAGCCTCTGGGGATTTGTGAGACTGAGTACCCAGAAATGCTGACTGAGTACCCAGGAGGCTGCTGGGCTGAATCCTGCTGACGTCTGCACAGCCTTGTTCTCTATCATTCGTTTCCTAACCTCTCTCTTTTGCTATGTCATTCTGGAATATTCTCCAAAAATCAACTTCACCATTCTCTTCCCTTTCTTTGGGCAGTAAAATCAGAACATTTTCTCTGATAGTAGACTTGATAAGGAATTCTGGTGGTGCAGTGGTTAAGAGGTACGGCTGCTAACAAAAAGGTCTGCAATTTGAATCCACCAGCCACTCCTTGGAAACCCTATGGGCAGTTCTACTCCGTCCTATAGGGTCGCTATGAGTTGGAATCGACTCGATGGCAACGGATTTGGTTTTTATACTTGATAAGATACACTGTATTAGAATAGTTGATACTCGAAGCAGGATGTGGGCGCTATGGAGATGAAATGAGAGAATGAGCTGGAAAAAATCTTGAGATCACCTAATCCACAGTTTCATGGTGACGCTGAGGAAATGGAAGCCAGCGCTCTTCTGAGGCAGAGCAAGCCCTGAAGCCCAGCCCCAGGGGTCTGAGCTCTTCCAAATAAATTACGCTGACTCAGGGCTGGGAAGAGTGAGCCCAAGGGCAAAAACTGTGAGAAAAGGGTGACTTTCAAGGTGGGCTTTGAAAACCATGACCCAGGTTACTCTGTCTTCCTCCCATACTGGGGATTCTTGGTGGCCCAATGGGACAACTAATTAATTTTATCAACTCGTTCATGACAAGTATGTACTTTAATAAGAGCCTTTGGAGACTTTGAACTTAACTCAAAGGAGTGTCTTTAATAATGGGACTGAAGGCAGATCGATACAGGAGATATTCGGGTGCAGCCAGGCATTTCAGCATCCTTAAAGCGTATCAGGTAAAGACTCACCCCACACTTAGGCAGGGCCAGATGGCCGACAGGCCAGTTTGGAAGGAAGATCTTGGTTGGTCATAGGGCAGTCAGCACGTCTTCCTGTGCTCGGATCACCAGCGCCCCCTAGGGACGCCTCCTGGTGAGCACTTCTGGGTACTGGCTCTCACAGAGGCCCTAGAGAACAAAAGCACTGACTTTCTGGCCAGCTACCTCTGCGTTCCTTGAATGACAGCCAGTTTGATGGGGATTTAAAAAATACTTTTCTTTTGAAAGAATAGCTTGACTTAAAGGAAGAAATTAAGGTGTGGAACCTTATTTCTTTGCTTTCTGTGCCTTGAAATCCTCTGCTGTAAATTAGGTCAAGGTAGCTACTGTCTTTCATAAGGACGTAGAAAGGATTGAGGGAAGATGATGCAAGGATTAGCATGCGAGGAAGGAAAGAACCACCAACAAAGTGCTCGGGGTATGTAGGGTGCATAGGTCCTCAATAAATGCTTGTTGGATGAATGAAGTAAATGAACACACAGCAGGGATTTCAGGTGCTTTCTATACTTTATCTCAACTTCACAATTACCCTTTGAGTTAGGCATTAAGATCCTCATTTTATACATGTGGAAATTGAGGCCCATGCCTGTCATGCCCCCCACCCAAGGCAGAAAATACAGGATTAATGTTTTAACAAAAAAAGTTTTCAGGAAATCTCCATAAACACTACAAAGGAAGAACCTATCTACCCACTAGACCTGTTTCCCCAATACCTTGCAGCTGCCCAAGTCCCTAAGTGCCGTGTCCCAAAATCGCTCACTTTTCCTTCCTTCCCAACCCCCAGTGCCTCCTCCTTCTGGTTGGGCCAACATAAGTATGTATCTGACCAAGGCCACACCAGTGGAAGATGGCAGAGCTGGGATCTGATCCTACGATGTCTGATTCCAGAGCCCAATGGAGAAAACCAAAACCAAACCAAACCCACTGCAGCTGAGTCGATTCCAATTCACAGCAACCCTGTAGGACGGAGTAGAACTGCCCCATAGGGCTTCCAAAGAGTGGCTAAGCTCTTTTTTGTTTTTTGTATTTTCCTTTTTTTTTTTTTTTTATTGCACTTTAGGTGAAGGTTTACAGAACAAATAGTTTCTCATTAAACAGTCAGTACACGTACTGTTTTATGACATTGGTTAACAACCCCATGA